AATTTAGGATGGGCTGAGCCCTGCTGAGCACCATCACTGCCCCCTCCTGCCTGGTATTCCCATTTATACACATAATGGTGACATGATGTTCATGGTTTAACTGCCACAATTGTATTTTAATGGTGTAGTCAATAGTTCTTGGGAACAAATCCTTTTGACAGAGGTTGCCTAAGACATTAGTATGAGTAATAATAAAGATTTTAGTCTTTCAAATGAGATTTACCAAAATCATCTCTCAGTCTTTTATGCCCATCCCTAGCAAAAGCAGCAACAATATAGTAATAATCCTGCTTTATGGTTTCCAAACCGCTTGGATAACATTATTTTTAATCTCAACAACTTTGTGAGGTAGCTGTTGATTTCGACTTTTGGAAAAAGAACCTGAGCCTAATGAATTTTTTAAGATCATGTAACAAGTAAGTGACAGAGCTAGAGCTTTAGCCTAGGCCTGTTTGATTTTAATCTGCTTTTTCTTCCACTGTATCATAGTTGCTTACAGAGAAATAGAGAGTATAGGAGAGGTATACCACTTAAATTAACTGTAATGTGCAGTGGACAGTGTTTATGTTGCCAACTAAACTGAGACACAAAAATAGCTAAAATCTTGAAAAATAAACCCTAAAACAATAACAGAGAAACAAATTATTCATCTGCAGAAGCAAAGGCTGAAGAACAATTTAATAACAAGTTTTTTGGTCTATTAAAGAGTATTATGTAGGGAGGAGAGCAGGCCCAGCTGTTCTTAATCAACACTGAGGCCAGGCTTTGGGAGGAAAACAAATGTTAAACTATAACAGAAGGGATAAGAAAGAATTTTTTATAAGTATTGTTAAATACTGGATCTGTTAGAGACTGTGTTAAGCCTCCTTTTCTGGCATTCGTTAAAAATTCCAGTCTTTACTAAGTGTTCTGAAGTATGATTCCCCCAGACATGAGAGTTTTGAAATACATGATAATTCTGAGAAACTACTCTGTTCACCAGTTTTTCACTATCAGTAAAGAACCTAAGGAAAAGATAGAAGTCTTCTCTAACTATCCAAGTTCAGCCTGATGTATCTAGGTAGTAGCATGTAAGTTCAAACATTTTGTTGTGCAGCTACTATGAACATATCTGTGTTAGTTACTCTTCTTGTTGCTGAGACAAAATACCTGACACCTAAAATTAAAAGAGGAATGATTTATTTTGCTCACAGTTTATAGAGGTTTCAGTCCATAATTGGCTGGCTCCAAGTCAGGGTGGCTTGGCAGAGGGACATCATAAAGGAGAAGTTTATGGCAAGCAGAAGACAGAAAAAGCAAGCAAGCCAAGGACCTTAACAGCCTCTTTCTGCCCTTTTTATTTTATCCAGACCACTTGGGGCAGGTAGCACTCACACCCTTAATCCTAGTGCCCTTGAACCTAGCATTGCATCATGAATCAATTCCAGTGTCACACACCCTAGATCCAGCCACCTCTGGAAAAAATAATAATAATAACTTATGACTGCATGAGGCTTTTGGGGAGGCATCTAGACACAACCATAACACCATCTTATGGCTAATTCTATAAGATGTTCATCAACCACAGTCAGCAGCTATTATCATGCCAGTAATTAAAGATACATAAATTGGCACCACTGGCCTTATAAGTAAGCCAAATGTTTCATCTAATACTCAACTTAAAAAAGCAGTACATCTAATCCAACACCAAGGGAATGGATAAGGAGAGTAAGGGGATTCGTACTGGATTTCTATTGATGTTTATAGTATGGTCGGAGCTTTAAAGTGTAGTTTCCCTTATCTTGCTGACCAGTGAATATGAAATACATGGAAAATGCAAAGTTGTAGGTAGTGTTAAGAGTTGCTTATATTTCCTGAGTAATTGTAGAATTTTGCTTGAGGAAAACTGAGTTAGGTATGAAAGTCACTTTGTAAGTGGCAGGTACTTTGAGAAATAAGTTTTAGAAAAGGTACTTTCTCTTAACTAGTCTACATTCAAAATTGGGGGAAATAGATATATCCTTATGAGTGAAGTCACAATACATATAGTTGACAACTCGAGTGGCACAGATAGTTGCTGTCAGAGTTTAAAATGGTAATATCAGTGGAAACTGGGGATCATTAAACAAGATCTCGTAGAGAATATTGGAATGTGAAGGGCAGATATAATTTAGAGCAGTAGAACTAGCTGGAAGGAAGATGGGTATTTTAGGTCCATGAGAAAAGACACAAAGGTGGGACTGAACCATGGTCTGAATCTAAAGGCTCCATTGGGGAATGGTGGGGTATATTGTTGCAGAGATGATGACAGGCTGGCATACTTTATGTCTGAGATCTCTGTACTTTATTCCAAGAGCAATGAGGTAAGAAGTAATTTGTTAAGTGTGAGCAAATAATTTTATAGATTTTGGTTAGCTTATACTATTTTTAAAATACAGTAATCTTTAAGGTTTTTTTACTCCTTCAGTTACATAAATGATGCAAATAAATTAGAAAAACTCATTAACTGCAAGAAAGTGAGAACCATAGTCATCATTTTCATTTGTGTGTGTAACTTGAAATTCTTTTCCTATTGAGATAGTTTTGAAATTTGGTGTATGTCTGAGAACCTCTGATGCCATACACCTATATTGTTGCCCTAGTTACTTTTTTGTCCAGTGCTTCTCTTTCTAGACCTTGGTGGAATCCTTAAGTGAAAGTACATGTCTTTATCTCCACATTCCAAGTCCCTATTGTGACCAGGATATACTGATACAGTACTTAAGAAGATTGAATCTCACAAGCACTATTTAATAGAAGAAAGGGAAATCTGGGAAATCTCTCCAGGGAACTCAATGCTAGATCCCAGCCCTCTGATTTCTGGTGATATGCAAAAATATAATGAATTTTGCATTGAAATGTACTAGTCCCCTGGTTCTTAACATCACCAGGAAATTTGTTAGCAATAAAAATTCTTGGGTCCCATTCTAGATCTACTGAATCAAAAATGTGGGGGATGAAGCCCAGAAATCTGACAAGTTCTCTGTGTGATTCTGATGAACTCTCAAGTTTAAAAAACACCAGACTAGAGCAGCAGTGAGACTGCATGCAGGCTTATTCTAGAGAAAGATTGAATGTCCAAAGATACATGAATCTTTATCATAGATATTGCAGTTTTATATCAGTGAAAATTATCATAAGATTATTGTTACAAACAAAATCGAATGTGTTGTAAATGGACCAGCTCTACTTACCTTATTTGGGGCACTGCTTTCCTCGTGTTAGCATTTAATTAGATCAAGAAGACTTAAAATAGATTATTTTTACCAGAAGAGCCTCAGACTTATAAAAATCTCCATCCGCATTTTCTCACGCATATTCACATACCTACTTACTGAACTTTCCCACTTAGATGCCTCTTACAAGTCCCTGATCTCTAAAACTGCATGTATGATCTTTTCCTTCAAATTTGTACAACCTGATATATCTCCTGTTTCAGAGAACTACATAGCTATCCATTCATTTTTCTCACACCAGTGTTATGTTTTACTTAATTCTTATCTCATAATACCAGTTCTACCACCTCATAGCTTTCAAAGGTACCTTTTTCCTCTTCATCCCCACTGATACTTTTCTAACTTAGACTATCTTTAGTTTCTCACTACATTATTTTAACCACTCTTAACTGGCCACTATGTCTCCATTCTCATGGAGGCCAGAACAAATCTAAAATGTAAATCTGATTAGTTCTTCACTTACAACTACTCAGTTACTTCCCATTACCTTCTTGATGAAATGCATCCTCTTTTTAGGGCCTTTAGGGTCTATCTTCTGTTTTCTTTTCCAGTTATCTCTTATCCTTGTACCTACAATCCCTCTGCTATTCTTTGTACTTGAAGTACTATTTTTATTAGACTGACACTGCTAATCCTTTCTAGAGGCTATTTACTTACTCCCTCTCCAAGAAGTTTCCTCTGACCTTCTGCAGTATAGTTGTATACACAGTATCCTAAATTTCCTTTTGTGTACCATTTATTTCATCTTTTTGTAAGTGCCTTGTTATATAACATATCCTTACTTTCCTCCTCCTTCCACCCCAATAGATTATAGGTCCCATAAAGATTAAGACTGATGTAGTATCATATCACTAGCTCTCAAACATATTAACTGGTAGATAACAGATATACTACAAATGTAGCAAAATAAACATTCTGGGTATAGTAATTTGAAATAGTTTTAAAGATTAATGGGTAGAATTTGTATTTTCTACCCCTTTCCTTTCATCCTATTCATTTATCCATTCATCTAGTATTTGTCGAATGCCGTCTGAGTACCAGGAACTGATACTATGATTCTGCCATGATACTATTCACATAATCATAACAGAAGGAAAAGGACAATTAAAAAGTAATTTCTGTACAATACATAGAGGCCAAGAAAGAAGAAGAAGGCATATTAAGGGAGCAATTACAAGCAGCTAACCTAAATTTGGATATTTAGGAAGAAGTGATGCTTGTGACAGTAGTTTTTCAGTTAAAGAATGGAAATATACGTTCTATGCAAAGAGAACAAACTATAAAATCCATATGAACAAGAGAACATGGCACTTTATGATTTGGTGATGGTGCTTTTGGAAGGAAAGCAGTCTTTGGGTAGGTTTGGGAAGGTTTGTGTTTTAGAAAGATTCCATTGTGGGAAATGCATTGAAAGGAGGAGAAGGTGGATAGATCAGTTGGATATAATCCAGGGGGAGAGGAGAGCAGCCAGAGTTTAGGAAAAAGTCTGTGGGACATTAGAGAGCGATGATTGCATTAGAAGAATATTTTGGACAAAGAATCAACAGTCCTTGGCAATGGATTAGATGACTACCATGAGGAAAGAGAACTGTGTCTTTCTAACATCATCTTTCTTTTCTGTAGTTCCTGGCAAGACTGAGGTAAAGATTTCACAAAAGAAATTGCAGCAAAGATCCCCACTGCCATAGCTATAGGCTACCAAGTCTTGAAGGACCTGCAAGAAGGGGAAAAGGTGAGATCTTTTCAGAATCCATGTAACATCTATAGGTGGAAAATATCCCTGTCATATATCTACTTTGATGGAAATCAGCATCAAATGACTGTTACTCATTACAACTATTACTTGTTGCTCATTTTTGTTTCATATACTTGAATGTGTTAAGGATAAAGCCTTCTGGCATTTAGTCATCTAGGTTCTATATCAGTTAAGGATTACTAGCAGAACGGATTTAATATAAAATACATATATGCATGTATATGACACATAAAGAATTCACAAGGTAGGCTTACAGTGGTCGCCTGCAGAGTCAAGTGGAAAAATGCAAAAAGGCTGTCTGTGTGCTGGCAATCCAAAGGATTCAATGAAAAGTTGAAGCCCTGGAGCTCACTGCAACCACATGTGAGTCCGTATCCGGAAGCCAAAGGGTCTGTGCTGGAAGCTGAAGAGTCTGCATTGGAAGCCTGGAGATGAACATCCAAGGGTGATGGTGAATTCATTAAGTCAATCATCCACATACACCCAGAACTTTGCTAAACCAATCTGCTAAGCATTTCTTACTCAAGTTGACACCATACTTAAATATCATACATCCAGGTAGGTATTTTTGAAGCTTACTTTTTAAAAACCTCTGCTGTTGAACATACTACAAATTTCAAAAAATACAACTTTATTTTAGCATATGTAGTGCTACCTCAGTTCACAAACTTAATTTGTTCTATGATTTTGGAAAAGATGGGCATATTTTTGTTTTTGTGCTAAAGATGGCTATGATTGTGTTTATCACCCAGTGCAGAGTTTGGAAACAAAAACAAAATTTTGCCAAACACTTCTGTTTGCAAACCAAATTGTTTGCAAACAAAAGCATTTGTGAACCAAGGTACCACTATACTTTTCAGTCCCTTTAGCATCTAACAAATAACAGTCAACATCTTTTTGGTTAAAATCATAAAATAATAAAATTTGAAAGGACTGTCAGTCTTTTTGTCTCTAGACCTTTATTCCGTAAGTGAAATGACTTCTCCAAGATCACATGGCTAGCTAGTGGAATGAACTTCTATAGGAGCTATGCCTTACTCTTGAGCTTTGTGTTGTCGTAGTTCAATGGACCTTTCAAAGGCCTTGGAAACAACTAATTAAGTTCATTGTGTTGAGAGCCTATCTTAGTTACTTTCCTCTTGTTGCTGGGATAAACTACCTGACACCCAAAGTTAAAGAAGGAAAGATTTATTTAGATCACAGTTTGTAGAGGTTTCAGTCCATAATCGGCTGGCTCCAAGGCAGAGTGGCACATGGCACGGGAGCATCACAGAGGAGAAACAGTTCATGGCACCCACATGGTAGCAAAAACAACAAGAAAACCTTAACAGTGTCTTTCTGCCCCTTTTATCTTATCCAGATCAATGGGATTAGGGTGGTGCTAAACCAATCAGTGTATGGGTTTAGTGATCACACACTAGATTCAACCACTGAAAAAGCCACCTATGCTTACAGGAGGCTTTGGGGGAACATGTTGACCCAAACTATAACAGAACTCTTTATTTTTTCCTCAGCTGTAAAAAGATATAATTGACAAATAAAAATTGTATATATTCAGAATGAACAATATGATCTTATATGCATACACATTATAAAATGACTGCCACAGTCATATTAATTTATTCCAACACTACCTATAATTATTAATGTGTGCATGTATGTGAAATACAGAATTTTTCATGTTATAACTGAAGGTCTGTATCCTTTGATCAACAACTCCCCATTTCTCCCACCTCCCAAACCGCAACAACCACCAGTTTACCCTTGACTTCTGTGAATTATATGCTTTTAAATTCTATATACATAAGTGAGATCACACAAATGACCCATTTTTTTATGAACCTTGGTCACAGTTCTGATTTGCCAGTTCATTAATAAAAATTTAAAATATCGAAATTAGTCTATATACTCAGCTATAAGAATGAGTGCTTTAGTTGCATAGGCTTGTACATAATATATTTTGAGTCTGTCACACCTAGGTAATCGTTAATCAACTTTTTATATTTCATTAAAAATATTTCCCTTTAGTACTTGTTACCTTGATGTATTTATGGAATTATCCTAGTATATATCTTTCATGTCATAGTTTTCTTTTTTGAAGTGTTGCCTGATGTGTACATTTTTAGCACCGTAATATGACTTATTGTTTAGATCTAAAATGGCCCCCACAGGCTCATGCATGTGAAAGGTGATTGTATTATGGGGGCATTGTAGCTGGCTTGCTGGTAGGATGTGGAGTCTGGTCAGAAGAGGCAGATCACTGTTGACCTGACCTAGAAGGGTTTATCTCCCTTCCAGCTCCTCTCTTGGTATTCTCTGCTTCCTAGATGCCATGCGATGAGCAGCTTTCTTTTGCCCAAGCCCTTCTACCATGCTGCCTATCATGCAAGGGCGGAAATCTATAAAAATGTGAACCAAAATAAACTACTACTCTTAAGTTGTGAGTATTGGGTATTTTGTCCTAGTGATGAAGGAAATAACTAAGACAGTGACATGCCTGCATTCTTACTGTTCTGTGGTAAGATTTAGTAGTACTTAGTTTCGGCATTAGTAAGATAGAATAATAAACATATATTGTTCATTTTCTTTCTAACTTCCTTTATAAGTATAAAATATATCTTAGAAAGTTTAAGTGACTGCTTGAAAATTATACCTTTGGAATGAATACAAGCACTGGAAATTAAACTGAGGTCTTTACTTAACCACCCATCGCCATGTTCTGTAGAGTTCCTTGTATTTGTTACATTCATATGTTTCTCTATTAGTCATGTTATTATGCTTAAAATCATCTTTAATAATTTCAAGATTTTAATGTCTGTGTACTAAAATATCTGACCAAGGGACTAGAGTTATAGTTATAGCTTAATGTAGACTTTTACCTCACACATACAAGGTGCTGTGTTCAAGCCTCAGCACCTAAAAAACAAAAATTGTTATCTGACCAGGAAGTATTACTTAGAAGTATGTTTGTGGAAATGGGCTACAACATTTTTTTCTTTATCTTTTTAGCTGTTATTCCTTTGATGAGGAAGGGTTAAAAAAAAAAGATGTAGAAAGGAGGGGAGGATAAAAAGAAGTTCTAAGGTGGAAGTGATTATTCACTATACTGTTTTCACATTACTGAAGCCCCATCTTCTGTGTGTCCCATGTGATTGGTAAATTCTAGTTTTCTAAATGTAAGTGGGGGAGACAATATGAGTGCAACTGTTTGATGATATTCCCTCATTGTATTTTCTCCTAGAGAACTTCAGAGAAGACATGGCGCCCAGAGAAGGGGATACTAAGAGTACCAACAGAGTGCTAAGAATAAGTCAGTTGGATGCACTTGAACTAAACAAGGCCCTAGAGCAGCTAGTTTGGTCTCAGTTTGCTCAATGCTTTCATGGATTTAAGCCAGGGCTGTTAGCTCGCTTTGAACCAGAAGTGAAAGCATTCTTGTGGCTTTTCTTATGGCGATTCACCATCTACTCCAAAAATGCCACTGTGGGACAATCAGTTTTGAATATTCAGTACAGAAACAATTTTTCCCCAAACCCAAGATATCATCCACCAAGTAAAAGTCAGAAACTCTGGTATGCTGCATGTACCATTGGTGGGAGGTGGCTAGAAGAACGATGCTATGATTTGTTTCGAAATCATCATTTAGCATCATTTGGGAAAGTCAAACAATGTGTGAATTTCGTGTTTGGACTTTTGAAATTAGGTGAATTAGTTAATTTTTTGATTTTCCTTCAAAGAGGAAAGTTTGCAACTTTAACAGAACGTCTCCTAGGCATTCATTCTGTATTTTGCACGCCTCAAAATATCCGTGAAGTTGGCTTTGAGTATATGAATAGGGAACTCCTCTGGCATGGTTTTGCTGAGTTTCTGATTTTTCTCTTACCACTTATCAATATCCAGAAATTGAAAGCCAAATTATCTTCATGGTGTATCCCCCTTACTGGTGCACCAAATAGTGACAGTACATTAGCCACCAGGGGCAAAGAATGTTCTCTGTGTGGAGAGTGGCCCACCATGCCTCACACCATAGGATGTGAACACATCTTTTGCTATTACTGTGTGAAGAGTAGTTTCTTATTTGACATGTACTTTACTTGTCCTAAATGTGGCACCGAGGTACAAAGTGTGCAGCCACTGAAATCAGGAATTGAGATGTCAGAAGTGAATACTCTTTAGAAACTAAAATTGTTTCCTCTGAGGACAAAATGTATTTTCAAATCCTCAATATTAATCATCCTTACATTTAAATGTCTTTCATAAGGCACACACTTCTCAGCCACTATCTTCAGTTCTTTTCTAGGCAAAAACTAAATTCTAGTCACTGGAAAATGTGATTCTAAACAGATTATGTTAATGTTCATTTTTTCAAAAACTGCATTCAATTTTTAATGTCAAGAATAATGGAATGTTTTTTGTCAGATGACTATTAAGAATCTTCCTTCATTTTACTTCTTCATAGAAAGCATTTGGACTCTAAAAATAAAGTATTTTGGAGACTGATGAACATGCCTTTATTTTCAGAGATGACATGATACCATAATATCATAATCTGACAAGATTATGTTTTAAACCTTAAGATTTGGTGCCTCTTATTTTAAGCTTTTCTTTGAAGCCAGTTTTCAAGAGGTTTAGTTCCTAGCTGTCAGACTCCTTCACAGTTGACTTCTTATATTTAGAAAGTAAAAGTTGCTTAAGACAGTTTAAAAGTGAGGCCTAGGGACCAAAGGAATCAACTGGTATGGAGAACACTATTTACTGTGTCTCTTTCTTTAGACTTTGATTCAGAGCTTATATTCTTAACGTATTAGTAGTTTTATGAAATAAGAGTGGTCTTTCACATGGCAGTAATATAGGAATACATATCAAGATGCACATCACTCCTTTTCTTTACATATTTTGCAGTTGGCAACAAGTCCTTCCTTGGAAGAGAAACTGGGTAACATATCTTAGTGGGTATAACATTAAATTTTCTTGCTAATTTTTAGTTCTTTATAATGTTCCTTTTTCATTGCTTTTCTTGCTTATGGGCTACTTAACACACACTAACAGCAGGTAATCGATGGACTTATGACTGACTTTGACACCCACATGCTCATTCCAGGAGCTGTGCCTCACTGCAGATAGTCCTGCCCTCTGGTCAAGTTACTGTGATAATCCTAGACACTCCATTCTGTCCCTGCTTCCCTGGGCACTGCCAGAAGACCCAGGGCTCAATGTTCAGGAATATTGGGTCATATTTAACTACATGATGGGTTTCTACTTTAGCTGCAAGAACCTATCAGTTATAAATGTTTTTCATTTGGAAAATAAGAACTTATACACTTTCTTTTTGCTTCTATTCCACGCAGCGTGTTCTCCATGCACATTCTCTGATGTGTTTTTAAAATATCGAGAGGACTTCAGTGAGCATATCTGAATTACTAAGGTATCAATCAGAGCTAACACAAGGCATGTCTTACTTCTTGGCTCACAACTCCCCAACCTTCAGTGATGCACAAACCTTAACTTCCTTTTGATTCTGTTTGTTCTGTTTGCCTATAAAATGGACATTCAATAATGTCTACCTCTTAGATAAAACAAGTAAAACAAATTAATTCATTGTTTAAAAAGTTATTTTTTGAGCATCTACAGACATTCTTCTGTGATGCATTCATGAATAAAACAAAACACCTGCTCTCGTGGAGTTTACATTTGTGGAAAGGTGATAGACAACAAAAATGTATATAAAATAATTTCAGATGTTAGAAGTACTTTGAAGAAAATAAAACAGACTCAGGGAACAGGGATACTGTATTCACAAGAGGCCTCTCTGAGAAGGTAAAATTTTAAGAGTCTTGAAGGAAATGAGGAGGAAGCCAAGCACAGAGAGGAATACCAAGATAAGGAAATGGCAGGTGCCCAGCATCTGAGAGGAGAGTTCTATTACCTGTTCAGATAGGAGGAAATCATCATGAGCAAGAGAAAGAAACATAGGAAAGGAATAAATTTGACAAAAGGAAAAATGGAAACAAAGTCTTGGTAAATAGGGATGGGTGGAAGGGTTAAAGGGAGGGCAGGGGAATGGGGAAAAAAATAAGAACCAAGATATATCACTTAAATTCCCAATGATGAATGTCATCACATTGTATACCTAAAATGTACCAATAAACTTAAATATGGGCCATTGGCACTGCCCCACCCCCACCCTGGCCCTCTGAGCAAGGAGTAGGTGCCTGCAGAACCACCCCAATACACCCCTCCCCTGGCCTCTGGCCTCCTGGGTGTGCTGGAACCTGGATCCATACCACCGAGGCACAGGGGCTCCTCAAGGCCATTGTCCTGAGCTCCAGAAGATACAGCAGAAATGAACAACAGAAAGAGGGCCTCAGGCTCCTTGATGAAAATTGAAACCCACTGGAAAAGTGAGAATCTCTCCAATAAAGGCACAGTAGACCACCATAGTTGGTAAGTTGGAGGGATCACCACCTCCCATCTGAACCTGGACTATTTTCAGGGGAATGGCAGCTGGAACCTGCAGTAGAAACTTGCAGAGTTGAACCCTGCAGGAGGTCAGGGAGCTCAACTTGGGCCTTGCAGCCATAAATCAGCCTGAATCTAGGGGTCTGCTGCTGGCTTGCTTAGACTAATTGACTTACATCTGCACACTGCTGCCCATGTCTGTTATCACAGTAGAGACATATAAAGGAGGCCCTTCATTTTTGTTTTTTATTTTCAAAATTACTTTTTCTGTCATTTTTAATTATTTTTTCTACTCTATTTTTTTTTCTTGTTGTTTTCTCTCTCTAGCTGTCTTGCTCTCCCACATTGTTCTTCATCTCGCCTTTTTTGTTTTTCTAGTACAGGGGATCAAACTAAGGACCTTGTGCTTGCGAGGCAGGCAGCAGAACCAATGAGCTAAATTCCCAGCTCTTTCATCTCCCTTTTGGTTCCTATTCCTGCCCTAATTCAGATTTCTTTCTTTTTCTTTTCTTCTTTTTCCTTTTCTCAATTGTCATTATTTTCAAAGGAAAGTGAATAGTTTCTAGCTTCCCTATTGCTGTTAGGTTGTTCTGCTCTTGTCTTTGTTCTTTCATTCTGTCTTTTCCTCTTGTCTTCAACAAGTTGCCTAGAGTTTTTGTGATCTTCCTGTTTCCTCTGGCTTCATTTCTAACCTTTCCCTATCCTTTTACCTATCTATCCCTTCGTTCCCAATTCCCATTAAGTCCCCATCCTGAAGGGTAAAGTTACTGTATTGAAGAGTTTATTTACTATGAACGTATTTTGGGCTGGTCCTCTATTTTGATATAATTCACATGGTTAAAAGTGATTAATAACTACCACAAATTGTCATTTTCTAAGCTGTGCTTGATGCTATTGTTGTTGCTGATTGTATCACTTGGGCTAAGGTGTTGTGATTGATCTAATCAGTTGTCCTTTGTGGTGTAATGAAAATGAGATTGTCTCAGAGTCATTAGAGACTCAAAACCTAAAGACCAGCTATATCTGGAAGACACCTCTGAGAAGCAGTCATTCCATAAGGGTTCTAAATACAGGCAACAAAGATATTTACAATAAGCAATATCGAAGTATCAACCCAGGAATTGTACCAACAACAAAAATAGAAATGAGAAGACATTTAAGCAAGGCACAAACCCAGACTTCCAGCTCATCAAAGGCAAATTCTGGTGGAAATGAGGTGGAAAAATCTGATAACAACCTGGACAACCAGAACTGATCACAAAGTAACGAAACAGATGAATGAGGCTCTAGAAAAATTCAAAACAAATAACTTCCCAGATAACTACAGAGATGGTGAGCAGAATGAAAGACATAATTAGAGACTCTAGAGCAGAAACAGATAAAAAAATAGGTGAGTTCAGGACCATAATGGAAGCCATGAATGCCCGGCATAGGAAAGAAATGGAAACCATGAATCACCAACAAAGGAAAGAAGTGGAATCCATGAAACAGATCCAAACATATCCAGGAGATTTAAAAACTCCATTGACAGTGTACACAGCAGACTGAGCCAATCTGAAGGCAGAATATCTGATATAGAAGACAGGATGGCAGTCAATGACCATGGAAAGAGAGATCTCTTAAAAATAGTAAGGGACCATGAGAAATCAACAGCTCCTACATGATACAAAGAAGAATAATAGAAGACTGATAGGAATCCATGAAAAAGCAGGCGAAAGTAGAAATGACATGAAACTGTTCACAGAATTAATGACAGAAAACTTTGCAAACAGAGAAAAAGAATTTGACATACAGATAAGTGAGGTATATAGGACTCCCAAATAGCCGTGATAAAAAAAATCTACACCTAGACATATAATAATCAAGATCCCAAAAACGCAACAGAGGAACAAAATCCTGCAAGCAGTTAGATAAAAGAAACAAATCACATGCAAAGGAAAGCCTATCAGAGTCACAGCGGACTTTTCTACACAAACCCTCAAGTCAAGGAGAGCCTGGAGTGAGGTATTTCAAGCCCTAAAAGCAAACAACCTCCAACCTAGACTGATGTATCCTGCAAAACTATCTTTCCAACTTGGAGAAATAAGATACTTCCATGACAAAGAACACCTGAGAAACATCATGAATACCAAACCAGCACCCCAAACAATTCTAAACAGTATCCTAGAAAAAGACAATGAAGGTCACAACTCCATGAGCGCCAACAGGGCAAATCCATCAGGCAAAGCAAAAAAATTAAAGGGAGAGGAGGAAAAATAAAAAAGAACCAACAACAGGAAAATAACATGACAATGATAAAGTCAATACATATCAGTTATAACCATCAATGTTAATGGTCTCAATTCACCAATCAAAAGAAATAGACTGGCAGAATGTATTAAGAAGCAAAATCCAACAAATGCTGTATTCATGAAACATACCTAGTTCAAAAAGAAACTCAGAATGAAAGTAAAAGGATGGAAAACAGTTCTCCGTGTGACAGGAACCTGGAAAAACAGCATGGGTAGCTATCTTATTTGAAAGTAGATTTCAAACCAAAACGAATTAAAGACAAAGAAGGTCACTGCATCCTTGTAAAGGGAATAATCCAAGAGGAAGAAATGACAATCATAAATATATATACACCAAATACTAATGCCCCCAACTATACAAAACAAATATTAAGGGACATGAAAAACCAAATAAGCACTAATACAATTGTAGTGGGGGACCACAATACCCCACTGTCACAAATAGATCATCTAGACAAAAAATAAACAATGAAATACTAGACTGAATCAAGCTTTTGTTTTTTGTTTGGTACCGGGGATTGAACTCAGGACTTTGCACTTACAAGGCAGGCACACCACCACTGAGCTGAATCCCCAGCCCTTTAACCAAGCTTTTGAACAAATGGACTTAATAAAAGTCAACAGCGTGTTCCACACCAGAAAATCAGAATATACATTCTTTTTGGCTGCACACAAGTCATTCTCCAAAATAGACCACATACTAGCTCATAAAACATGTTTAAGTAAATGCAAAGGAGTTGAAGTTATCCCC